TTTCACAAGGAACATATAGTCCCAGTCTAGGACAGCATTTTACACATGGCGGGCACTTGGTAACAGCCTCAGCTGACCTGCTAAATGAGTTTCCTTGGTGACGCTCCTAGCCCCAGTGCTGAAGAACCACAGGTCGGGGAGAGGTCAGAGGAAGCGAAGGCACAGTTTAAGGTGGCACCTTGGAAACCCCAGATGAAGGGTGTGGACATAAGTACCTTTGGCACTGACCAGAGGGAACGAGGTCTGTGTGCTGAGGGCACAGCGAGAGCACAACACAAGCTTGATAGGAATGGAAGACAGAGTGTGGGGGTTATTTGCTTTACTCTCTAGAATTTGGCTTCTTATTATGATTTCCCCCTCATAAGAGAAGAATATATGTGGTAGTGAGGGAGGCAGGTTATCAGGGATCAGAAAAGAAAGTAGGTAGACTGTGTCATCTCCAAGAATTTCAATCAATCCCCATGCCCTTTATTCTTCACTCTGCTTCAGTCCAGCTCAGCAGCTCTAGTCCTGTGCTCTGTCACTCCCTCCCTCTTTAGTGGCCGTATACAAGTTAGCTGCAGCTCACAAAGCTGCTTCAGTGCTGGGTCTCATAAGGAAGCCTTCTGGCCACTCCTACCCCTTCGGAAGGGCAGTGCTGGGGTGCGTAGCAGGTGAGCTGCTGCTCGGGTTGATACTGCGGTTCATGCAATGCCTTTGGCAGATAAGTGAGCATGAGGAAGACTATTTTTGTAAACTTAATCAAAGAAAACACAGGGGTTCCTTTCTTCATTCACCATCATCTGACCAAAAGTCGGAGGCTGCAAGGCTCTGTAATCTCTTCATGGCGATTTCTGCAAACATGTGGTTCCAGGTTATGGGGTCGGTAGCAGTCTTAGATTTAGGATGTGTTTGCAGTGCTAAATCCAGTTCTTCCTGTGTGAAGGAGGACGTTGGCCTGCCTTGAGCTCACCCCACTGCAGGGACAGTAGTTACTTCTCAGCTCTTCCCTTGAGGGTTTGGTTGGACAGCCAGTCCTGGGCACACTAAACGGTCTAGGCCACACCTGGAGGGTGCAGGGCCCTCCTGCACCAGGACAGTGACTGATGCTTCCCAGATGTTGGGCCTGTGGCTCCTTCCTGGCTCTACAGGGCTGTCCCTGCTGCTTACAACACCAGCTGCTAGGACATGGCTGTAAGGTGGGTCTCCTCAGAGAGGTGAGCCCCTCGTCTGCAGGAGCAGGACAGCTGGTGGCCGCGCACCAGCTGGCGGGGAGGTGGGTGGTTTCAGCTGGCAGCAGGTGGAGGCTTCTGCGCGTCATCCACCGTCCCTGTCATTCCAGTGCTCACTCCACTAAAGATGGTTAATAAATACTGTTGACTGGCTGTTGAGCGAATTACAGCATTATTTATTTTGTCTAAAAATTAGAAACAACCCAAATATCTACCAGTATGGAATTAAATATCCACAGAGAAATTCTATGCTGCCATTAAAAATAACAAGGTTTACCTATAGGTATTGACGGGGAAAGAACACTCATGGTATTTAGTAGGAAAACCAAATTGTAGAGCAATAGTCCCATTCATGGAAAAGAATAATTTCATACACACATACAGGGAGAGGGAGGAGACGGGTAGACACAAGACAGATGTGTATAGAAGAAGTTAGCAGTATAACACTAAGCTGTTCAAGTGGTTATCTCTGAGAGGTGGTTGCACAGGAGGTTACTGCTTTCATTATGTAATTCTGTTAGATTAACTTGAACAAAATTCAGAGTTAGGATTCTAAGACTAGAGTTTATGAAAATACTTTAAGATCCCTGAAGTTCTTTTCAAACAATGATTGCTTCCATCAGGTGCCTCTACATCTGCCTGGAAGCTAAGGAGAAAGCAAAACCACCCAGAATGCATCTCTCATAGTTATCTTTGCAAAATATATGCCACTCTTGACGTGATTTCACTGTTTTAGAAAGTTCTTGAAGAAGCATCTGACTC